AACTCAAAGATGACCTTGAACTTAAGAAGGGATTTGAAACTTCCCTACCTCAAGGCTTACCTGACTCTGTTAATGCACTCGATTGGATGAACTTCATCTCTGGCGCTAACGTCATACTCGGTCGCTATGATCCACACCAACTCTTCAGTGGTACTTTTCTTGCTGGTCTCGCTGGGTTTCTTTCTCCCATCTCTCACGAAATAACACGTCAAAAATTGCGCGATGCTGGCATGAATCTTCTTGGCTACCTTGAGGCGTGGAATGCTGGGTATTTTGGGCCTAGAAATATGAGAGTGAACTTCCATGAGGACAAGGTGTCGGTAGGCAAGATCAACACGAAGCACACGGGATCAATGATTTGGAGGCAAATATTTCGACTGGGTACGGGCGACTATAAGCGGTTTCTGGTCGTCTGTACTATGGAACCACCAGCATATAAAAGTTGATTATCAACTACAAAAAAATGTTCAATTGATAGAGTTTACAGTCACATATTGTTCGAGACGAATTTCACTTGTCAAAGTCGATTTATAATAAATATTGCCATGAATCTGTAATATGCAGACTTGCGAGGCCGAAGGGTATGAACATGTACATCATGTTAGTCTAGGTGAAAAAGTCAACTCATGATCTTCTTGATCCTTTTAGTCTATTTCTCTTTTGCTTTTAGACAAGTCCAAATAAAAAATTCCGAATGTCTGCCGTTCTGTCTTCTCGTAATCATGTACTGAAATCCGAAACTTGAGGATATTGAGTGTGTTGAAAGTACTACATACTGACAGAGGTGGTCCGAGACCTCCAGGATTGGGGGGAGGGGCATCAAGTTTTTTCTTTCAAGATAGTATAAAATTTTTAGTACGAAATCAGATAAAGACATGTGAACAAATCATTATTTTTATCAACGTCGTCAATAAGAAAATATTCAACAAAAACACAAAGAAATCCATCGTTTCAACCATTACGTGGTACTGATTTTCACCCTTCGTGATTTCATCGAAGCCCAGTTATCAGCGAAGCCCAGCAGTTTCGAAAGCAGCGATCTTCTACCATGTTCCTGACCACTGTTCTCCACGATATGTGCTGAAAAAATTATGAATTGTTTAAGTTTTTGCTTCAACACCTAGAACTCGATATTTTTATTTTGTAAATTCTTCTGTCCATTCCAGTACCTTCAAAACTTGTCAGATAAAAAAAACAAGTACCAAAATTATGTACATTACCTTATTGATATTTTAATGATGCATCAATTGCATATTGTAATAATTATTGATTCATATAATCATCATTATCAGACATGTTTTTGAATTCACCATTGTTTAATTTACCCAGTTGATATAAATCATTGATTGTTGTTACAGCTGTATTATCTTCTTCTGTTGCTGAAGCTAACGTTTCGGATGAAATTGTGGTTGGTGATATCGTACTGGTCTCATATATTTTTTTAATTATATCTATCAGTGTTGTACCACCATTTGCATGTGAACCATCAATAATCGACAGACTTGTTGATGTTTGCTGGCAATAAGGGTTTACGGCATTTGGTAAATACGACTGAAGTAATTCATCTCTTTGTACTTTAAATATTCCTGTTTTATTCGTCATATACAATAGTCGAATTAATAAATCAAAATTTGAATTTTTAATTGAATTTAACATCGACCAAGTTGTAACAACGTCGTTTACCCATTTCATAAAAAATGCTGCTATTGCTAGGCCACCAATTATATCCATTGGATCTGTTAACCATTCAGTACATTTATGTTCAATACTTCCACCTTCTATCTCACCATCATCTGTATCCAAAAATAAATGTTTCCAAACTAATAAATTATTTTGTTTATCACCATCTGATAGGGCCGATGCATTTAATAGCATTGTTATCTTCAAAAGTATATCACGTCCAAACGGTCTGTTGGGAAATAGTTTCAATTTCAGTGTAGTAAAATTACTAATTGCATTCAAAACATCTTTTACGTTCAATTGACCAACCCATTGTTTCATATGTTCGAAGTGTAGAGTAACAACATCGTGCGGAGTCTTCATTATTGATGTCTGATCTACTTCAGATAAATCAACATTTTCCAAAATTTGGCACGCTGTATCTAATGTATCTGTTGTATAACTGTCTAAAATATTATAATAGTCAATGAAATAGTGTCTGCATGTACGAGAACGTAATAGATCACAAGTATACGTTATCCATTGTGTACCAATTATTTCGTTTTCTAGACATTGATCATCAACATCATTATAACTAAAATCTTCTTGCATTGCACACATCCATAATACGCTTGTCTTTATAAAATGTGATTGCAAACTTGTTTGTTGTCGCAAGTATTTGTAATAAATATTTCGTGCAATACCATCCAATATTCGTTGTTTAACCGTTCTCGATTGTGCTAATAAACGTTCAACAGCGAAAAGGAATAGCGAAATTCATATTCAGCCGTTGCTGAAATTTTTAAACCTTTTGGCACGACATGCATATGAATCTGTCTTATTTTCTCATATAATTTAGCTGGTTGATTGGATAACTGAAAGCGTTCCAGAAATGGTTGAATATTATTTGGCTAAAAATTTAGTTTTAACGCTAAAACAATATCACTATTATAACCTGCTACTTTGCCAATAATTTGCTTACACAAATTTTGAGTTAGGTTTAAATTGCTCAAATGTTTATATTTATAATAGAAATTGATTAATTCATTTCTTTATAATTTGAGTTCAGCCGGGAAATATATACCATAGGCCAGTCCCATCAAATAAAATAAACGTTCAAATTGAAATTTTGTCGTTGGAACATAATTCATCATTCGTTCTCGTTCATCTACATTGTTTATAATTTTAGTCAATTCATCATGAAGAGAAAGAAAAGTTTCTGTAAATTTAGTTCGGGACTGCGATGCGATCATATGTAAAGCTTGGGTAAATCTCTGATCAAATTCTTCTGCAACATCTTTAACTAATGGCGAACGTAAAATACTCACTTTATCGACAGAAATATCCATATTAGCCTGTAAAACCAGAGAGCATTTTAGTCATAATTAGAATAATTTTGCTTCATTTTAAACCCATTAACACAACATATTCCATTATTATAACCACAAGGTAATTGAGCCAGTTTTTCATTATTCCACTTAATTTGCACATAGAGATCATTTTCCGTTGAAGTTCATTTTCAGAATTTAATTCACCTTCTTCAAGTATAAAATCAATATCTTCAGAGAGACGTTGTCCTTCTGCTATACTACCACTGACCAAGTACATTAAATATATGCCACACACTGCAGAAGAAAAAAAAAGACAAAATACAAAAAGCGAAATGTTTTATAAAATAAATGACTTTTTATATATAAATCTCTTTTTTGATAATGTTTATCAGTGCCTGATAAACATTATAAACATAATAAAAGCAAGTGAAAAAAAAGCGTGTTTGATAAACAATAAAAGCAAGATCAATAATAAAGGAGAGGTACGACAATGAAATAATTAATTCAGTTTGTTAAAAGGAATGCTACTCATTGCTCATAGAGCGACGTTCTATTTTAGCTACTGTTCTGAGGCTCCAACATGATACATAAGCCAGGAACAGTCTCTGGACTCGTTTTCGTAAGACTAATTTTACATTCCAGAATTCAACCACTACAAAACCACGTTAAAAGAGATAGTTTAGCCCAGTGGCGAAAATTTATAACCTCAGTGCTAGCTACGAAGAGTCCTCTGTCACGAGCTCTTTCACAGAAGTGAAATATTTCCCGATCAAGAAGCGTATACCTTAGCGAGAGGCTTATTCGAATCCTACTAAGATCTTAGTAAGGTGTCCGGAACTTAAAGGAGAAACACTATTTTTTTCTGAATAATTCATACATGGTTTGATGCAGCTCGAGGAGCTCTGTCAAAATATGTGTGTTTTAATTTTTGAAAACGGATTTTTTGGGTCGAAAAATTCAAAAAACTGAAAATTTGACTGTGGTCCAAAAACTGGGCTGAGCCCTGCGTAGAAAGCTCTGAGCCCCGCCTGGACAGTTTTCTAAATTTTTCCTGAACTATAGTTTTCAACGATGATTGAATTGTGAGCAAAAAAGAACAAACGCGATGAGTACTTTTTTCTGTACTGTGCCAAATCAAATGAGTTATGAAACATGGCCCCATCTATCGGCCAAGAAAACTACATAGATTTGCAATCGGAAGATAGCACTAACTTAGCCGCTTCGAAAAATTGTGGCTTTTCCATGCCACAAGGTGTCCGAACAATGTCAAAGCCATATTTCCTAATTCTGTTTTTCATGGTGAACAAGAAAAAATACTTTTTAAAGAACACGAAAAATCATGCCTACGAGAAAAGTAAGTTATATTCCAAAAATGTTCGTTTTTGCAACGCAGGGCTCAGCCCAGTTTTTGGACC